GACACTGATAACCAATACAATCTGCAAAAGCTATAACCTTTAGGATGACCTTCTTCCTCCTCCAGAAAAGATAATTAAATTAATTTGAAGAAAATAAATTCATTAAACTCTTTTTTGGAGGGTAGGGGGCCATCAATAATCCTGCTTATATCTTCCCGTTATATGCACTAAACAGTTGTAGTTATAAAAGTAAAACAGACTCATCTTAGTAAATGGGAAAAGAGAAAGGAGAAAATAACACCCATTTTCCTATCATATTAAGATAACCACAGTTAACTTTTTTAGAGTAAAAAATAAATTGGGATCATGCTGCACATGTGGTTTTGTAACCCAATAATGTGAAAACCTTTCCGTGCCATTACCTAGTCACCTAAACATCGCTGTGAATGACTGCAAAGCAATCCATTGTTTGAAACGGCCATTATTTATTGGTGACTGAGGTTTGCTTTAGGTTTATTCACAGACACAATTAGGACCGTGATCCCTTGAATGACAAAGTAAGATTAATCTGATAACTACTGAAAGGTTTGGGGCACCTGGGTGGCTCAGTCGGTTAAGCGTCTGCCTTTGGCTCAGGTCATGATCCCAGGGTTCTGGGATCGAGTCCCGCATCGGGCTCCCTGCTCAGCAGAGAGCCTGCTTCTCCCTCTCCCTCTGCCTGCCACTCTGCCTACTTGTGCTCTCTCTTTCTCTGTCAAATAAATAAATAAAATCTTAAAAAAAAAAAAAAAAAACTACTGAAAGGTTAAACCACTGGTATAATGGTAAAGAGAGCGGGTGTGGTGGGGGTGGGGTGCTGATAGGTAGCATTTGCTAATTTGATTGGTGTAAATAGTCCCACCATGGCCAATTTCAAGATGATCCTTCTAACAATGGGTTTGCAAACCTGAATATTTAACAACTGGCTCTCTGGAATCAGTTCCAGCTCATTCTTAAAGAAAACCCATGCTAAACCAAAGTGGTTAGTTCTCTACTATTTGAATGGTAGAATGGGAGTTCTGTGAATGAAAGTGAACCACAGGAGACGCCTGAGTGGCTCAGTCGGTTAAGCGGCTGCCTTCAGCTCAGGTCATGATCCCAGGGTCCTGGGATCGAGTCCCACATCGGGCTCCTTGCTCGGCGGGGAGCCTGCTTCTCCCTCTGCCTGCCTCTCCCCCTGCTTGTGTTCTGTCTCGCTCTCTCTCTGACAAATAAATAAATAAAATCTTTAAAAAAAAAAAAAGAAAGTGAACCACAGTTCCAGTTATCTTAACATGCTGTTGTATTTTGGGATTGGAACTGTCAAGCTGGTAACTGGAGCAGCTAGATGGCTGAAGGTCTAATAAGAGTTTTCTAAAAGGTCTTAGTGTGGAAGTGCAAGTACACTGGAAAGACCACATTTTTTGAATAGACAGACATGGGGCTTTGTTAAGTTAACCTTATTAAAGCCTCTATTTCTTTAACCTGCATATGGGAATAATAATGTCTCAGTCGAGCTGGTGTTGGGATTAAAAACATCATACATCAAATATACAGTAAGAATATAATAAACGCTCTACAAATGTTAGTTGTCTTTCCCCCTTAATAATTATTACCTCTAAGGAAATAGGTATGAATTCTTTTGACACTTTATTTGCAGGGAATTTAATGAAGTTGATCTTTAAATTACGTATCTTTATGATTTAAACCAGGGGTTGGCAAAATATGGCCTGTGAGCCCAAAACTGGCCTTTTTCTTTTTTTTTAAGATTTTATTTATTTATTTGATATATAGACAGAGACAGCGTGAGAGGTAACACAAGCAGGCGGAGTGGGAGAGGGAGAAGCAGGCTTCCCACTGAGCAGGACCCTGGGATCATGACCGGAGCCGAAGGCAGACGCTTAATGACTGAGCCACCCAGGCGCCCCAAAACTGGCCCGGTTTTATAAATAAAGTTTTACAAAAACTTCTAGTTTTGAAGGAACACACCATGCCCATTCATTTATAGAGTTCTACGGCCACTGTTATGCTACAAGGCAGGACTGAGCTGCTGGAACGGAGACCACAGGGCCTAGAAAGCACGAAATATTTACTGTTTGGTCCTTTACAGAAAAGGTTTGCTAACTCATGATTTAAGCCATTCTAACTTTCCTTAAGTGAATACTTTCTTTTATATTTACATATACCTAGAGAGATATATATATTCAAAAAAACAAAACAACTTAGGATAGAAAATGAAAAAGATGAGGTAAGAAGATTCTCCTAGGATTTAGAAATTGCAAAATAAATATTAGGTCGAAGAATACCTGAGAAATACTTGAAACTCCAGGATAAAGCTGAGCTCTAATTCAGTCAAGACAGTATATTTTAAAGACTATTTTATAAATGAGATTTTCTACAAGAGGGACTATTACTTCTGGACCTGGAATACACCTTAAATGTGGAACTTGGAAGAGTGAATTCAGGAGGCAGAAACTTGGAATATTATTTATAACTTGGCAATGAAAGTGAACGAAGAAACCACATTAGTCAGGCAAAATAAGCTGATCTCTCTAACTACAGGTAAAATAACATTTCAAACATTGAAAAATGTACACAATCAAAACTGTACAGGGTAGAGGTTTAAGCAACCGTTTCCCCTAATTTTTGATGTTTACATGGAACGTTCTTCAAGCAGCAAATAAGTTACCAATGATCTTGACAGACTGAAATGATACATCTTTACCACAACATAAATTAATTCTCTCAGTGGGAAATTGTTAAAATAGGCAAGGTGTCAGAAAGATTTCTTTATGTCTGAGGGAAAGGAAATGATTCCATTTCTTCCAAACGTTCTTACATGAGAAATAATAAACTCTCACTTTTAAACTATTTTCATGGGGTTCTATGGCACCCATTACTAATTGGGGCAGTCATGGTTATCTGGTGTTGGCCACGAGTCACTCCACATTAAGTCAGGTATAAAACACTCTCCGGTATAAAACTGCCCCCATAATTCATATTATATATGAATAAATAGTCATAGAAATATCCAGAAAAGCGGAGCACAGAGTTATACTAGGTTCTCACAGCATTCCTTAGATTTACATAGCAAATATTACACAAAGATCCTGGAAAGTAAATCTTCACAGAATAAAATATAAGGGAAATATGGTGACCTATGTAAAGGAATGGACAAATGCCCGCCACAAATGAGCCAATTCATCCTCTACAGGAGGGTGACGCTGATTCTGTTCCTGAAGCAACTAGTTGAAAATTCCAGACCACAGAGATGAACATTTATTGAATGCTGGGGGATACACAAGCTCTCACACTTAACTCACACAAGAACCTAGATAGTGGGTATTATTAGTGATGTGTAAAGGGAGAAGTACAGATAGGAACTCTGATCCGTCTGTCTCGCACGCCTGTCCTATCTTCGAAATGCCTAATCGTGATAAAACACAGGGTGTCTTATCAGCCATGAGTCTCCCAAACTGCCCTTAGAAAGGAGGTCCCATAATCAGAGTCAACTAAGTTTGGGAAACTTACTAAATCCTTCCCTTGGAGAATAACAAGGCCTGCATTAAAGAAATCAGTGTACTTTGGTCTAACCCATCCCTTTCCCTATCTTATTAGGAAATGCCTTTCCCTCCAACTACTATTTTGTGAAGTAAATATTCTGAAACACAATTTGAGAAATACTACTGTAGTCACCTCCCTTGATAGGAGATGGCTGAAAGAGAGAGCTGCAAACTGTCAGAGAAAAATCAACTTTTTAGCCACAGTCAAGGGGGTGATGCTACAGAGATGATGGTGTGATTCTAGGTGGCTTCTCTTTGCTCTCAGGATCAACCCAGAGTGCCCTGGTCCCCGCCGAATGCCCTGGCCTCGCCTCACACGGGTCAGCTGGCCTCTTTCAGTACCTGGGACCTGCCAGGCTCCTCCTCACAGAGCTTCTGCAAAATGTTCCCTGGCGGGACGTTCCTCCTTTCCCTCTTTACCTACTTGAGTCCTACTTATCTTTCAGGGAAAGCCTTTCCTGAATGTCTGTCGGGATGCTCTCATATCACTGAGTTCTATATAGCACTTGTCATGGTTAAGGTTATATTTATTTACTGCCTGTTTAAACTCCGATTGTGGGGCAGGGAAATATATTCCCTGCCTCTTGGATGGGAAAAAGAAGAGGAGGGATCTTTCCAGCCTCCTTTGACTGTCCTTACTCATTCCTGCCCATGGAGGAGCAACTACTTAGTGGCTCTCTGAACTGGGGAGAAGGGGTTGTGCATGCTCCTCTCAGGGCGCAGGGTGTACTCGGGTCTGCTCGGCCTCCGTGTAAAAGGGCGGTTTGGGAAATAAGTTGAATTCAGGGAAGACATACTAAGAGAAGCCCAAAGGTTATGGATCCAAGTTCCGTTCTGCAGTTTGGCTTTAGTCACTAATAAAGTTGATTTTGATCTTTCCTCTGGCTGTTGTTTAATTTTTCAGTTGCTTCTACATCTGGGAGGGGAAGACAAGAATGTGCTTGTTGGCCCCCTACAATACCAACGTCTCCCACTAGGCCTAACCTCCTTCGGGAGGGGGATGAGGTCTCCTTTGGCTCACTATGGTAGCTTGGTGCCCGCCACACAGGAGGCACTCGGAATTTTTTTTTTAACATTCATTATGGAAAATGTTTAAAATAAGCAAAATAGGGAGAACGGTCTAACGAACCCCGGTGTACCCATCACCCAGCACCAACAATAATCAACACATGGCAATCTTGTTTCATCCACTCTTCTACCTGACTGAAGCAAATCCACTTCAGGCATTACGGATGGCAAAGGCTCAAAAAAATACCTATAAAACCATTATCACATACAGACTATACACAACAATTAATATTTCTTCAGTGATGGAGGACTAATCAACAAACTCACAGAGACCAGTAAAGGGTCTGAATTGTCGCCGGTCCCCGGCCCCTTTCTGCCCCCGGCTTACCACACACGGCACGCACGCGCACGCTGCTCCCCAGCAACTATCCCCCTGCACCCCTGTCCAGACGGTAGGGCCGAGCCACTCACCGGTGGGGGTGCTGCTGCGGAACGAAGAGGAGGGGGTGATGGGCGGGGTCACGGGGGGAGTGAGGCTTCCACTGCTGTGGCGTGGCGGAGTGGACACATTCCCTCGAGACACTGAGCTGGACAAGGTCAGCGAGAGCTTCGGCTGAATCTTCTTCTTTAGGGACTCCTGCTCTCGGCGGGCAGCATCTGTCATGAATCTGAAGCAACAACGGGAGGTGAGTAACTGGGCCCATCTCTGGAGCATGAGGAATGACGACAGCTCCCCCAAGTTTGACAGACGCCCCACCCTGGGAAAAGGGGCTTGTTCACAGTCTCAAAGACTTACAACAGATTCCCTTTTCCTATGGGATGAAATAATCTTCCAGCTCACTGTCTTCAGGTTCCTCACGGGTAGGCCCCATTTCTCTCTGAGGCAAACCCTCGGAAACTTGTACACACAGACTATGTCTACACCTGCTGCAGTGCCTTGGGTTAGAAGGCTTCCTCTCTCTCAGAAGGCCCTCTCTTTTCTTTCAACTCATAGAAAGCCCACCCAGTCTCCAAGTTCCCCAGCACTTCCAGGTGGAAAGGGCCTCCTTTATTGGTGGGTGGGCAGGATTTATTGTTCGTACTACTTCGCTGCCACTCTACATATGCAGCCTCCTGAAAACGGATTCTTTTTTTGTCCTACTCCAGATCCTCAAGTTGTTATTTGGATTTTTAAAATTTTTCTTGGCAGACTGAAGGTCCTCTCTCCCTAACTGTTAGCTGAAAGGAAAGGACAGAAGTCCCCATAATTGCGGCTAGCACGCTGCCAAGTCCATCTCAATTAACATTTAGAGAATGAGTAAATCTGCCCAAGCAGATTCTAGAAGAGAGCAGTACAAGGAGGAAGATGACTGCTACAGACCCATTTATGTTGTGATTTTATTACCCATAAAGGGAAAGGCGACTTTTCCTGATCATTTCACTTTGGAAACTTCAAAGTTATCCCTTCCACACTTCTCTTATGTTAGTAACATTCAAACCATTCTTTTCTCACTGTATAACATTTCATAAATTCGGGCGCCTGGGTGGCTCAGTTGGTTAGGCGACTGCCTTCGGCTCAGGTCATGATCCTGGAGTCCCTGGATCGAGTCCCGCGTCGGGCTCCCTGCTCGGCGGGGAGCCTGCTTCTCCCTCTGACCCTCCCCCCTCTCATGTGCTCTCTGTCTCTCTCATTCTCTCTGTCTCAAATAAATAAATAAAATCTTTAAAAAAAACATTTCATAAATTCATGTAATACAAGATTCAAAACAATCTATGGCATATCTCTCATCTAAAGAACAAATTTTTTTTGGACATCATACAACTTTTTTTTTTTAAAGTAGTTTCCCTGCCCAACATGGGGCTTGAACTCACAACCCTGAGATCAAGAGTTGCATGTTCTACCGAAGGAGCCAGCCAGGCGCCAGCAAACTTTTTTTTGTATTATTGGCAGGCAGGCTTTGTCAGCTGCATTTCTGAAAACTGCAGCAGAAAGCCTAGCGAACAGAGTGCATGAAAGCATTTAGGGAATGAAACAGGCACTGTGGTTGAAACTCACTGCCTTGGCTAAGAGGACATAACCATGGCCTTGCTCAAGTCTTCCCTGTACCCAACCCCCCATCGTTACATTCTATTTTAATACAATTCATCATTAACTCCATTTGACTTAAAGTGGTATTAAGACCCAACACCTTTCACATTCTGTCTAAAAAATTTCTTAGTATTTGTCTTCATTATGCTAAGAAGTTTTAGAAGTCAACAGATAGTTCCAATGCCTGGTAAAAAACTTAGCCAATCAAATACCCAATGAAACAATATTACAGTATTGTTACAATGTCTTAAAATGTCTACTCTTATACTTGGAACATGGATGGCACATTTCTTGAATGGCTTCTGCAATACAATCTAGATATATAATAAACCAGATTTTTATGAAGAACTGAATAATAAAGCTACATGCTTTGCCTTGAGCTCTTAGGTTTTGTGCTACAAGATGGTGAAGGCTTATTTATATTTTTATTTTTTATTTTTATTTTTTTTAAAGATTTTATTTATTTGACAGAGAGAGACAGTGAGAGCAGGAACACAAGCAGGGGGAGTGGGAAAGGGAGAAGCAGGCCTCCCGCTGAGCAGGGAGCCCAATGTGGGACTCGATCCCGGGACCCCAGGATCATGACCTGAGCCGAAGGCAGACGCTTAACGACTGAGCCACCCAGGAGCCCTATTTTTATTTTTTTTAAAGATTTTATTTATTCATTTGACAGAGAGACACAGTGAGAGAGGGAAAACAAGCAGGGGGAGTGGGAGAGGGAGAAGCAGGCCTCCTGTCGAGCATGGAGCCTGACACGGGGCTCAATCCCAGGACCCTGGGATCATGACCTGAGCTGAAGGCAGCCGCTCAACCGAGCCACCCAGGCACCCCAATGGTGAAGGTTTAAAAAGAATAAAGGAACACCACCACAAAACAGAATTGTTTGCACCTGGTAGCCAGGTACTCATTTACTTTCAGATGCAAAGTTGGCTCTACTGTTCTTAAAACTGTTTTCCACCCCCCGCCCCATAAACTTCTACTCAAAATATGGACTCTCAGAGAAAAGCAAAGAACTAGTGCTTTCTTCTATCATTCTAAGTAGAATTACTAACTAGCACAGTGTCAAGCTTCTCCAACTGGGGTACATGGTAGGTGGGGAGTGGGCAAAACCACAGGATAGACATACTGCTTCTTCCAGAAAGACCAATGGTTCTCAATGTAGGTAATTCAAGTCAGTTTTTTGTTTTGTTTTGTTTTTAAAGTAAGCTCTATGCCCAGCGTGGGGCTCGACTCACAACCCTGAGATCAGGAGTTGCATGCTCTATTGACTGAGCCAGCCAGGCGTCCCTCAAGTCAGTTTTTTAAATGGTAAAAGAAGGCAGATACTCTATGGAGTAGAACATAAAATGTGCATCTTGCACCTTAGTGAAGAGTATGGGACTTGGAGCCAGGCAGACTGGGGAATTTGATCTTTGGTTAAGCTCAGGTAATCTGCTAAAATGGTATGTTAGCTATGCTAACAGTCAACACTCCCTAAGATCACACTGACCCCTGACTGGTAAATCGCTTCTGGACTTGGAAGAGTAAGAAACCATTTATACAAACTGGATAGGAAGTCAGAGCCTGGACTTCCTGAGTGGTGATCTTGTACCTAGGTATGTCCAAGCGGGGAACCGAGGAGTATGCCTGTGGAGTGTTACAGGACCTCTGACCCCTCATCTACCAGGGCAGCTCTCACCTTTGCCTGCGGGGCATCTTGTCTACCTTATACCAGTGAGGACTCCACAGAAGGCATGATGCTGCCCTGCTGGCAAGCTGTGGCTCTGCCCACTATTCCTCTGACGAGACCCAGTGCCCACCGTGGCTTCTGGTCATCTTGTGAGTCTGAATGTTTGTGATCAAAGAAAATCACCCATTGATGGACAGGATAGTGCTGACTTCAGAGGACGGTTCTAAAGATTAAATGAGGGAGTAGTGCTTGGGTGGCTCAGTCGGTTAAGCGTCTGCCTTCGGCTCGGGTCATGATCCCAGGGTCCTGGAATGGAGCCCCGCATTGGGCTCCCTGCTCCGTGGGAAGCCTGCTTCTCCCTCTCCTACTCCCCCTGCTTGTGTTCCCTCTCTCACTGTGTCTCTCTCTGTCAAATAAACAGAATCTTAAAAAAAAAAAAATAGCTCATGCCATTTATTGTAAAATACTCTCCTACAGCTCAGATATAAAACAACAACCATAAGAAACCACAACAACGTGCCCACACATCCCCTACCTTCACCCCAACAGGAGTTTGGTCAGCTATGGATAACAATCTATTTTAGGTTTATATCTGCTAAGTCCTTTCTAGAAGTGAGAACGAGACATCATGTTAAAAGCATTAAACATGAAACTCATAAAGCACTTCTGCCAACGTTCCTCTCCCTCCACCCTCCCTCCTCCTCTCTTGGATTGCTGGTTGTGAACTTGCTCACAGCTCAACTCGTAAATCAGGGCAACCCTGCCATACCAACATACACAGCTGCATGATTTATTCCCGGGGACCACACACACACACACACACACACACACCCCACGGGTACACACCTCGGGAGTGGTGATTACAATTCACCAGCTTCTCACTGGCAATACTGCCCAGCTCTTCCTCTTTCACTTATCAACCATGACTTTACCTATTTTTTGATACCTATTAAACCCCAAAGTTTTAAAGCAATGTTCCACCAATACAGCTCTTTGACAAAAGATGGGCAGATTCCCAATGGCAAGGCATCCCTTGGGGAGCCAAGTTTATAGAGAACCTGATGCGACAGAGGAAGGCTGTGAGTACAGCCAAGAGCGGGAGACTCGAGTGGTTGGGCTTTGACCAGAAAGGCAGGTAAATCTACTTCCCACCTTGAAGGCAGCTGCACTGTGACACATCCTTGAAGGACCACAGCCCCGATCTTTCCATCGTCTCTAGTGGAAATGTCCCCCCGTATTCCCACGGCTGAGAGGGAAGTCAGGCTTGGGAAGCCACATCGCCCTGCGGTCTGCGTTTTTCTTGATGTGTTTTGACACGATGGGTCATCTTTTCTGAAGCCCTCAGTAATAGCAGCCAACATGGGGGCGCTTCAGAGCTGGAAGAAACCCAGGTAAGACAGATCGCCTAGTCTAATCCCCTCATTTCTCACATTAACTGGGAACTGAAGCGGAGCGGCCTGTGCAAGGTCACTTTGCTGGCGGGGGGCAGAACTGGCATGAGAGAACTTCAGCCTCAGGGCTGCACCCAATGCTCCCAGCTCTGCCATGGGCATGTCAAAGACCTCGGAGCTTTCTTGCTTTTGCTTCAGAGTCCTGGTCTTCAAGGTTGAAAGGGCTCAAGGACCCAGAGCTTAGGGCGTGGGGCAATGTAGAGGGAACCCCTCTGGGGGTTTATATGTTGGAAGTGGGGTGGGTTGGGAGACAGGAGGCCTCATTCTCTCCATGTCGGCCAAGCTCTGCTGGGTGGGGCTGCTGGACTCCTGGGGGGGGACCCTGGCTTTGTAGCCTCACGGGGCTGTGATGTGAGGAAGCCTGGCTATGCCCGCCTCCCTGAATTCTTTCTGCTTTGCAATGGGATCTGTTGTAATCTCGTAGTAGTAGTGTGCTATTGTGGGTTTGTATTGGCTTATGAGAGCTGGTCATTAAATTTT